TTTTTTTTTTTTTTTTTTTTCTCTTCTTTTCAAACGAATAAAGAGGAAACAATTCAACTCACCCCGTCAGTCTTTCTTCTTAAGTTCGATCTTTGCAACGTAGCAGCCAATTCGTTCTGCAATCTCGACACAACTGGCCCATTCGCCAATTCGTCCGTGCCGTTTCTGTCTGATCGAGACTGTTGCGAGAGGAAGTCGAGCTTAGACGGTTGTTTAGCTTCTCCTTCGTAAGCACCTATCCTAATGGCGACCTTTCCGGTGGCTGGCTTCAAGTTCTGTGCCGGAGTTGCAACTGCCGGAGACACGGCCGCTTTCGTCGTCGTTTCCGGCACAGGACTCGGCGACGGTTCCTTTCCATTCACCTGCGGCTTATTTCCGGCGACGTGTCGGGGACTTCCGTTCGACGTGGCCGTAGAATTATTCTGTATGGGGAAGTAAGTTGGCGGTGGCTTTGGGATCACTGGGTTTGGAGTCTCTTTTAATTTGAATGATTCTATGCTTTGCATCTCCACGGAATCTTCGGTATTTTTAGCCTTCGAAAGAAGCGGAAGCGGAGGTGGAGCTGGTGGCGCCGGTGGTGCTGGAGGCGCCGGAGGTGCCGGCGGTACGTTGTTTGTCGGTGTCGTCGACGTGTTCAGTACCCTTTTTTCTTGTTCCTGGTGGCAGTTCAATAAGATTAAGATAAGTATGGCAAATACTTGGTAATCTATGTAGCAGAGAAAATCGACAGATACATATTTAATTTCATAGATAATATTCTTTTTAATTTATTTAATCTCTCGAAGGTTGTTTTAAAACCACGAACATATGCGTTCTGTTTCCACTTTAAACATTCCAAACGATTCTCTCTGTTCGAAAATGGAGATTCAATGCTAATCGTCGTCAGATAAACTCGACTAACTAACATCGTACGGCGTAATAGTAACCAGCACGCGACTCCTTCGTTCACCGTTGTTCAGCAAACCGTTGTCCATGTCTTCGGTTTCAAAAGCTTAGCATCTTTCCTTTGATTGACTTTCCTCTGCTAGCAGCGGCAGACGCTATAACGGTTCAATTTCGACTGTCTTTTTGTAAATCACTTCCGAGTGGTTAACGAACAGCCTTTCGGAGAACACTGGCGCGCGCGATCGCGAAACGAAAACTACGCTCTCGTCGTGGTGGGCACTTTCCGCGAGTTACGCGCGTCCACGCGAATTAGCGGCTGCGGTGAACACTAAGTGCGACACCGCTTTTTTCGCTAATCACAAGCGAGCCGCGGTGCACTTCGCGGTGCACAACGACAGCCACCTTGAAACCAATCGCACGATTCAAGTCGACTGAGAAACAGTCACGAGCGTAACTCGCGCTCTTATGTAAGCTCTATTATTTTGCACGTCTGCCGCAATTCGTAAAGAAATCAACCGCCACCGCGCAATGTTGGTCAACCTAAGGAAAAATCCTTGCGACAGCACGCTCACGTTCACTCGCGTATGTGTTCGAACGATCGCGGGTACCAACCGATCATCAACGACTGCGTTCGCGAACCGTTGAACCGTCCGTTTAACAACACCAATAATCGCCTGCCGATGATTCGATTGCGTAATGACTCATCGAACCTAAGCTCTGATTTCTCGGAAGTGGCGAACGTCGAAATAATATATAACCGAGCCTTTTCGTACGTGGAATACAATCGGTGATCGCTACGATTAGTAGTAGATCGTTAATTAGCGGAATCGTTCAAGCGAACAGAGTCGTTTTAGAAAGCAACGGCTGCTTCCTCCGCGCGCGGCTCCCGGTATCGTATCGAAATCACGCTGCCAGGCTTAATTAGTTGAACTGCGATTCAATTAAGGGCTTTAATTTGGCGTTCAGCCTGGCTCGCGAAACGGCTAGTAGCGAGCCCAAACGTTTGCATCGCGCGGCAGATTCACCCGGACTGAGACGGAACGGCGAGACTTACGTGACTATAAGAAAGGAACATCGGTCTCTATCTCGCGTCGGTCGTCGTCAATTCGAACGCGATACGCGCGTGTACAACAGTTAATAAAACGCGGCTTGTAGATAAATTCAGGTGCAGCTGAGCGTATTGCGTTGCATGTTACACACGTATGTACGTTCAATTCCTTTCGAGACTCGCGCAGACAATGACTGGCCCCGAACTCTTCGTAATCGTCGAGGCTCTGTTATCTGTTTGCATTGGCAGATCTTTGGAAAGATTGTGTAATTAGAGACGAGTGCAAGAGTGCACGGTCGTAATCGTGTCTCGTCAGTCGAGAACTGGAAGCATC